TATCCCGGGATTCTTGGCAAATAACCTAAAAAACCTAAAAAAGGCCGAGATCCCGGGATTAACATTCCTAGTATGTAAATAAAAAAATTAATTGTAACAGAAAATTGAATGAATTTTAGCGAGCGGATTTAGAATTGAATAAAAATCGAATAGAAAAATTAGTAAGCTGGCCACAACGATATTTCGATAATGTGTAAACCAATAATAAATGAATTTTACACAAACAATACATGGAGAAAAATTACCGAGCACCGAGTACCAAGCTTGGTGTGATGACCCCTATTATTGTTTTACTTCGCCTAAATAAAACAATTAACGATAAACAATTTTTAATTTTACTTTATCTTATTAACTTTATTAACAGTTGAAGTTGGCGGTTTCAGATTTTCGTAAATATTTAGTAACAGTTTATAAAATATTTGCATTTTTTAAAATGATTTTTCAATATAAAACTTAGTATACAGAGTAAACTTGGTTATATACAAAATATGAACTAGTTCTATTGTTAATATTTTTATCTGGTCGGTTTTTATTACACTTTTCAAAGAATCAGCTAATGATAACTTAGGTATATAGTATATTATTAACATGAAATTGCTACTTAGGTTTTATAAATTAAAATCTGAAGTTTAATTTCTGATGTTTTTTGTTTTTAATTTAGGCACTATTGGTGTTACCAAAAATATGAAGTAGGTGTATTCATGAAACTTGGTGATATGTGGAATAAGAAATATTACTACCACTAGTTCAAGTTATACTCAGGAGATACTCTTAAACTTAATGAAAATCCGAAAACTAAACACTTTTCATGGAAATGTTTACAATTCAGTTTACAGACTTTCCAAAATGTCGAGCGTTTTTACAGTTTAAGCCAACGCGCCCTATTTAGTTTTCCAATAAAATTTCTTTAACAACTAAAGAGTGTACATAAAAACTTAACTGTATGAATAGTTTCGAAAATTAAGTATACTTTATATCCTCCAATCGATTTAAAAAAAGAAAAATATTTCCCCCCTCTTCAGCGCTCTACCCCCCTTAGACCAACATGCTAGCGTTATTGTCACAAAATTCATAGATATTATCGACAAATTGCATTTCCGTATTCCCCTCGTTCTTTTGCGGCTGTTCTCCGGCCTCCTGACCTACCACAGTTGGCGCTGGTCCTCCAACCATTTCAGCTGCCGGCGGCACACCACAATCGTTCACATTCTCCACCGCATCCAAAGTCATTCGCTTGAGGTTATTCACTAACGATATATCCTGCCTGATTTCATTCTTCAATTCGCGCAATTCATGTTCGGTTTGTATAATCTGTTCGGCATATTGCTCAACATTTCTCTGTATTTGTCCAATCGAGAGCTCAAGCCTCTGATCCGCATTCGAATACAATTCATTGCTTAGCTTATATAGCTGACATTTGTGATTCAGCCGCTTAGTTAGCTCCAGTTCGCGCTTGTAAAGTTTATCGATTTCGTTTGTCTTCTGTGCTAACTTGTGACGTATCGAATTTCGTATGGGCGCATCTTTGCGCCGACGTATGCAATTATTTGCCACCTCTGGTGCGTTGGCGAGCGGACTTTCGCGTAGTTTTTCGCAATTTCGTTTTGCGGTTTTGCTCAAGCGCTTTTTTCGGCGCATAGAGACACGCGTTTCGGAGAGGCTGTACAGCTTGCGTTTCAGCATATCCGCTTTTGTGGTGGAATCACTGCTGTTGGACGCGGTGTATAGGACTTCTTTTGTTGGTGGATGTGCAGAGCCGTTGTCGTACTTCTTATCGGGTAACAAAATGAAGACTATCTCGTCGGGGGACTCTTCCTCTTTAATGGTTAGGAGAGGTTTTTGATGCTTATCTTTGATGGGCAGTGGAAGTTCCTTATTTCGCTTCCTAAATTTAAATAATTTGGCAAAGTATTTCCGCAGCGATTGAAGCCAGTTACGGTTTTGCTTTGGCGGCGTGGGTTCGGCGACTTCTTTGTAGTGTTTTAAGCTGAGACGAATCTGCAAGAAATTAATACCATCACAAAATACGTCACAAACACAGTGTAAAAAAAGGGTCCTTAAATTGGACTTATTCGTATTTGATTTAGAGTGAACTTCCCAACAAATGCGGAAGACGCTGGTGATGGGGCTTTCGGGAGCAACGCGAGCCATAAAGAAGTCCTAGCAAGTTATTCGCAAAAGAAAACGTGATTTCGAAGAGCTTTGGATCTTTGCATAAATCGATTCATAGGACTTACATCCAACTAATGGAAATATTTTTTTCTTCATGATTATATACATTAACTAAAAAACTACTGTTATACCGGCCCTGAACTACCTTTGCATGGTAAGTAGGGGTGTTTACTCGATTTCAAACGTTTTCGATAATATGCAGAGTTACACTTAATGATATAATTGAACCAAGTTAGGCACAAATGGATAAAGAGGTAACCAAAATACACTTTTGTAGTCATAGAGTAGGCGGTGCCACGCCCAATTCCTCAAAGTCTATAGCAGTCTTATTTATTGTTAGGGGGTTGTTGTAACTATTAACTTGGAGCAAATTAGCGTCCTCAGTTATTGAATTATCGGAGTTTTCGTATATCTGAAATTTACCGTTATTCGGTAAGCGGGTGTAGTTTTAGTCCGATTTGAATAATTTTCAACAAATTGCTTTTCCGTACGTTGCACGTTATTAAGTGCACCGAAGTTGGTCGAAATTGATAAATCGGTTACCGAGATACACATTTGTGGCCATGAATTGGCGGCGCCACGCCCATTATCCAAAAATTTATATTGAAATTTTTTTTTTTTTTTTTTTT